CTGTATTTCTGTTCCAATTGGTTGTCCATCCTCCTTCTCGATTCATAGGAAGTCCTCGCATATTCTCCTTTGTCAATTAATGAGTATTTTAAATACTTTCTTCCTCTTTTAACTGTCTAGAGAATCTTTGGTAGAGTTTATAACGTTAATGTAGTCCAAGTTATCAATTGTTTCCTGTGTGACTTATGTTCTTTGTTTCTCATGTAAGAAATTATTCCCTACCTCACGTGAATAAAGATATTGTAAAATACCATCTTCTGAAAGTTTCAGAGTTTTGCTTTTCTCATTAAGCTTGAGAGTCATATGGGATACATTTTTGTGATGTAGGAGACCTAACTACATTTTTTTCTCATATGAATAACTAATAATCTCAGCACCATTAATTGTAAAGTTCATACCCACTGACCAGTGGTCTCAGTCTCTCTCCTTCCCTCCATATATATATATATATGTTTGTTGATTTATGTCTTGCTATCTGCTAGGGACAATTTCTTCTCCCTTCTTCTCTTTCAAGGGTGCCCTGGCTAGTCTCAGTGCTCTGCACTTCCGTATAAATGTTACTTACAACCTATCCAGTTCCAAAAAATTGGGTAATTTTGATTAGGATTGCCTTGACTCTATAGATCAATTTGGAGAGAATTGACATGGTTCCAGTACAGAGTCTTTCAATCTATGAACATGGCTTAACTCTCCATTTTAAAACAAGTTTTAATTCTAGTGTAGTTAACATACAATGTTAGATTAGTGTTGGGTGTACTGTGTAGAGATTCCACAATTCTATACCTTACTCAGTGCTCATCGTGGTAAGTGTACTCTTCATCCCCTTCACCTATTTTCCCCATCCTCCCCCTCCACTCCCCTCCGGTAACCCCCTGTTTGTTTGTTTGTTTATTAAAGATTTTAGTTTTAAGTAATCTCTACACCCAACATGGGGCTTGAACTCACAACCCTGAGTTCAAGAGTCACGTGTTCCACCGACTGAGCCAGCCAGGCGCCCCTACCTGTTTTCTATTTTAACCCTCCGCTTTTATCTAGTTTTTAATGTCTCTCCGTATTAAAGTTTTATTCCATAAGGACCTTGTGTATTTTCATTCGGTTTATTCCTAGGTACTTTACATATTTTTTTAAAAAAGATTTTGTTTATTTATTTGAGAGAGAGACAGTGAGTGGGTGGGAAGAGGAGCAGAGAGAGAATCCTTTTTTTTTAAGATTTTATTTATTTTTTTGATAGAGAGAGACACAGTGAGAGAGGGAACACAAGCAGGGGGAGTGGGAGAGGGAGAAGCAGGCTTCCCGCTGAGCAGGGAGCCCGATGTGGGGCTCGATCCCAGGACTCTGGGATCATGACCTGAGCCGAAGGCAGACGCTTAACCTACTGAGCCACTCAGGCACCCCGGAGAGAGAGAATCTTAAGCAGACACTGCACTGAGCACAGAGCCAGACACGGGGCTCGATCTCATGACCCTGAGATCATGACCTAAGCTGAGATCAGGAGTCAGACGCTTAACCAACTGAGCCACCCAGGTGCCCCAACATATTTTTATTATGCTATAAATGATATCTTACTGTACTTCATCTTTTTTTAAAAAGATTTTATTTATTTATTTGACACAGAGTGAGAGAGCACAAGCAGGCAGAGTGGCAGGCCGAGGGAGAAGGAGAAGCAGGCTTCCTGCTGAGCAGAGAGCCTGACACAGGGCTCGATCCCAGCACCCCGGGATCATGACCTGAGCTGAAGGCAGACACTCAACCGACTGAGCCACCTAGGCGCCCCTGTATGCTGTTTTTTTTAATCCAACAATTTTGCTAAATTCTTTTACTAATTTGAAAAAATAATCTGAAGAATTTTTTTTATTTTCTACAAAGAATCCAAAAATAATGGCAGTTTTGTTTATTTCTAATCCTTTTACCTTTGTTTTCTTTTTGTTGTCCTGCTGTCTAGGACAGCCGTGTCCAAGATAAACCTAATGTGAGTCATATATGCGGGCCATGCACAAAATGTGAAACCTTCTAGTAGCCACATGAAAAAAATCAAAAGAAGCAGGTGAATTAATTTTTATATTTCATATAACCTTAATTTATAAAAATATTGTTTTAATATGTAATCAATATAAAGCTATTGACGAAACATTTTATGGTGTCAAGTTTTTTTTTTTGTACTAAGTCTTTAAATCCAGTATGTGTTGAATTTTACTCTTGCATCTCGATTGGGACTAGTCACATTTCAAGTTCTCACTAATCACAGGTGGCTAGTGACTACCATGTTGGAAAACACAGGTCTAGGATATCTGGTGCAGTGTTTAATGGAAATGGGGATTGTGACCATCCTTGCTTTCTTACCAATTTCAAGGGGAATGCTTTCAATATTTCCCCATTAATTAGGATATTTGCTGTAGGTTTTTTGTAGATACCTTTACCAGGATAAAGACATTCCTTGTATTCCAAGTCTGCGACACATTTTAAAACAAACAGACATTGAACTTTTCCTGCATCTATGGAGATGACCATATGTCTTTCTCCTTTAACTTTTAATGTGGTGAATTACATCAACTGATTTTCAAATGTTAAGCCAACCTTGCATTTCTGGACGAGACCCAATTTTGTCACGAGATAATATCATTTTGCTATACTACCAGATTTGGTTTGCTAATGTTTTAAGACTTTTGTATCTATATTGACAAGAGACATTGGTCTATAATTTTTTTTTCACTGTTCTTGTCACAAAAAAAGAATTGGGAAGCATTCTCTCTTTTTCTGGTATGCGGAAAAGTTGGGATAAAACTGGAATTATTTCTTCTTTAAACAACTCATAGGTGAAGCTTTCTTTGTGGGAACATTACTGGTGATTGACTCAATTCTTTTAATGGTTATGGGGAGGTCTGATGCTCAGTTGGGGCCACGGGACATCAGGGGGACAGCGGGTTGCTAGAGTATCAAGATAGTTTCACACCAGCTTATACAGAGCCACCACTCCCAACCCCCCAAGTGCCACAACCACTCCATGGCTGCCCCAGATTTCCCAGACCTTCTGATGACATATAGATCGAAGAGTTAGTGCTTGGCATAGCCAGGGGTCTCTTGGACTCTGCTCAGTGCTAAGGCTGGGACCTGCTATGAATGCTCAGTGTTCTGTTGTTAGATACTTTGGTACTATGACCAGGGATGCTCATTCAGGTTTTCTCTCGAGTCGGTTTTGGTAAGTTATGTTTTTTCTAGGAATTTTCCCAGTTCATTAAGATTTTTAAGCTATTGCCATAAAGTTATTCATAATTATCTTTTATCTTTTCTTTCTCTCAATATTTGCAGACTCTCTGGCTTTTCGTTCCTGATACTGGTAATTGTGCCTTCTCTCTTTTTTTCTTGATAAATTTCACCAGAGGTTGTCAGTATAATTAGTATTTTTATAGAAGTAATTTTTGGTTTTGCTGATCCTTTCCATTATCTTCTGCTCTTATTTCACTCTGTCCTTCCTTCTGTTTTCTTTTACTTTACTGTTCTTTTTCCAGCTTCTTGAGATGAGCACCTACTTACTACTTTCAGCGTTTTCTCTTTTCTAATATAGCATTAAAAGCCATAAATTTCCTTTTAAGTCATGCTTTAGCTTACCCTGCAATTTTTTAAAAAAGATTTTATTTTTAAGTAATCTCTACACCCAGTGTGGGGCTCAAACTCATGACTCCAAGATCAAGAGTCGCAGGCTCTTCCAACCAAGCCAGCCAGGAGTCCCTGCAGTTTTTAATATGTAATATTTCCATTCTCATTCAGTTACAATAAAAAAGTGTTTTATAATTTCCATTACGATTTCTTCTTTGATCCATCAGTTATTTAGAAATATACTTCTTAATTTCCAAACACATGGGGCTTTTGAAATTATTTTTTGTTATCAACTTCTGCCTTATTTGTGTTGTGGTCAGAGGATGTACTCCGTATGATTTCAAACTTTAGAAATTTCTTGAGATTTTCTATCCTTGTAAATATTCCGTATGTAATTCTGCAGTGGTCACCCCCCAGTGTTCTATGAAAGTCTATTAGTCAAATTTCTTAGACCCTTATTGAATATATTTGTTTGTTCTACCAATTACAGAGGGGTGTGTTTTTAAGTCTCCCACTAGAATTGTGGATTTTTCTATTTTTCTGTGTAGTTCTCTTCATGTTTCCTATATTTTAAGATTATGGAATTTGCACACAAACTTGAAATTGTTCTTTTTGGTGAACCAGATCATTTTCATTATGAAGTGACTTTATTTTTAGTGAGGGTTTTCTTTTTCCCCAGTATTAAAGGAACTAGACAAGTCTTCTTTTTGTTAGCCTTGGTGTAATGTAGGTTTCCCGGGCATTTACTTTCATCCTTTCAGTACCCTTACATTTTGGGAGTGTCTCTTGCGAATGTCTCTTCTAAATTGCATGTAGTTGGATTTTTATCCAGTCTGATAGTATTTGTATTTTAACTACATTTAGTCCACTTGCATTTATTGAATTGTAGCACATTTGAATCCGTATCTGTCATCTATTTGTCCCACCTGTCTTATATTTATTTTTCTCTCTGTTCTCGCTTGGTTTAGGATTGATTTGGTGGATCTTCTCATTCTATTTTCCTCCTCTAATAATTCGGATAAATATTATACGCTGCATTTCCATTCTCTTAGTCTACCCCGGTAATGACAACCCCGGGATCATGACCCCAGCTGAAGGCAGACGCCCAAGGGCTGAGCCACTCAGGCGCCCCGACAACTTTCATTCTTAACTCACCGAAGTCTAAGTGTATTTGGTATCTCCACTTGCCTCCTGACAAAGGATCTTAGAACCCTTTAACTCCACTCATCCAAGTTATATGCTATTGTTTTTGTGCATTTTAATTCTATTTTTATCCAGAAGACATTGTTACTGTTTTATATTGTCAATGTTCATTGTTCTTTATTCCCTATTGCATCAGACCTCTGTCTGTGATCATCTTCCTCCTGTCTGAAGTTCTTCCGCTGGAATTTCCTTTAGGGAGGGTCTGTTAGTGGCAAAGGCTTAGTCTTAGTATTTATAAATGTTATTATTTCTCCCCCTCCTGGAAAGATATTTCCACTGGGCCACATAATTCTTGAAAGAAATTTGCACTGGGTACGTAATTCTAACATGATGGTTATTTTCTCCCTGGACATTAGATAAATCATTCCAGTGCCTTCTGGCTGACTTCCGTTGCTTCTGATAAAAAGTCAAATGTCAACCTATCATTTATTTTTTCTGTGCTCCAGACAGGCGTTTGGACTTTATTCTGAGGGAAATGAGCTACGGGAGGTTTTTAAGCACTAGCGTGACCCAGTCAGATCTGCACTGGAGAAGCGCTCTCTGGCACTGTGTGGACACGGCTCGCAGGGAGCGGCAGCTGTTGCTGCAGTCCAGCGGAAAGGACGCGGGGTGTGGAGGGAAGCGGGTCAGGGAGGCAGGACTTGGGATCCACGCAGGTAGGCGGTGGGAGCGCGAGGGGAGCGGTTCCCGGCGGGGAGGAATGGTGGCGCCGGAGCGACACCAGAAGGGGGATGGGGTGGGTGAGGCAGAGTCCGTCTGGGACCTCAAGATCCATTCATTCCACAAACAGTGGAACGACTACTACGTGCCGAACGCCAAGTGCGGGGCGGCAAAAGCCGCCCCGGCCACACCTGCCGCGAATTATTGCCTAGCCGGGGCCCTCCGCACAGTCGCCCACCCACGGACGGACGGACGGACGGAAGGACGAACGTGCAGGCGCCTGCTCAGGACCGGCCAAACCACGCCGCTCCGGAGCCCGGATCTAGAAGCCTCGGTCCGGAGATGCAAAATCCCGGCCGGCCCCGCCCTCCCGCCGCTCGGGGGTCCGCACGCCGGCCCCGCCCGCGCCTCTGTGGGAGGTGGGACACATGGCCTCCGTGCTCTGCGCGTTTCTCATCGGCCCAACCGGGGCGTGTCGTTTCCGGCCTCCCAGAGTCACCGGGAGCGTTTTAAAGAAACGCCTCTCGGTATTAAGATCTCGTTCCGCCCCGGCGCCAAGCAACGCCCGCGCCAAAAAAGTCCCGCGGACCGGCGCGGCGGAGCTGCAGCGCGCGGCCCCGGCTCGGCGGCGGCGGGGCGGGGCGGGGCTCCATCGGGGGCGGGGCTCCATCGGGGGCGGGGCAGGGCGGGGCGGGGCCGGCGGGGAGGGGGAGGCCCAGGAGGGAGGGGCGTGACCTGCCGGGCGCGAGCCGAGCCCCCGCCCCGCCTCCTCCTCGCGCGCTCGCTCGCTCGCTCGCTCGCTCGCGCAGAGGAAAACGTTGCGCAGGTTCAAAAATGGAACGTCGGCGGCGTGAGGGAGCGCGAGGGGGTGTGCGCGCGTGCGCGTGCGCGTGCGCGCCCGGGCGAGGGTGACGGGGTCCCCGCCGGCCCGAGCATCGCGCGCCTCAGCCGCGGCCCCGCAGCTCCGCCCCCGGCCCGGCCCGGCCCGGCCCGGCCCCGGGCCCGCTCGCCCGCCGCCCCGCATGGAGCTGTCAGCCATCGGCGAGCAGGTGTTCGCGGTGGAGAGCATCCGGAAGAAGCGCGTGCGGAAGGTGAGGCTGCCTGGGGGCGGCTCCCAGGACCCCTGTGGGGTCCCTTGTTGTCCCCAGCACCGTCCCTTCCACGCTGGCGGCAAGGGGGAAAGTGGGGCGGGGGGCCCGGGCAGCTCCGTGCTGCTGGGCTCGTCTCCCCAGTCTGTGCCTCAGTTTCCCCTGCCACCTTGTAGAACGAGTAGAATAAAAGTTGTCGCCCCGGCATCCTGGGGGCAGCTGAGCCCGCCAGAGCTGGAGATTAGGGTCAGACTGTAGGGATCCTGAACGCCATCCTTCCTCAACCTCCCCTCGTTCTAAATAAGGGGAGATTGAGGCCCAAGTTGAGGAAAAGGCTCACTGGTGTGTTAGCGTCGGAGCTGGGTCTCGAACTCAGGACTCCGGACTCGGTACCGAGACCTTTGAAGTTGGAGGCGGAGCTTCAGCCTCCTGCCTCTGAGGTCTAACTCTGGACTTCGACCTTTTCGGATCCCTTCTACCCCCACCTCCGTCTTTCTCCCCGTCTTGCAGCGCACACCTCTCTGTCTTCCCCACCCCAACTCTCAGCCCCGCCCGGCTAAGCTCAGTGAAGCCGCCTACAGCGCTGGGGCATTCTCTAAGCTCCTCCCCCTTCCCTTCGCCTCCAAAACATACCCTGCAATTTAAGGAGGCATCTGTTCCACTGGGTTCGGGTACCCGCGCCTCGGGGCTGGACTTTGGCGGTTCACACTTCCTGTGCACCTGTTTGCAGAGTGGTCGCCTCAGACCGGAGGTGGGGGATGGAAACCCTTGGGGAAAGTCCTTCTGGCACTCACCACCATCCTTTTCCCTTATCTCCCCTCTGCAGCCCCTTGGGAGGCTCCAGTGGCAGGGCTGGGAGGGGTCTTAGAGGTCACCTCCTCCTGTTTGACAGAGGCAGAGACTGAGACCCAGGCAGAGGAAATGACCTGGTCAAGGTCACACAGCAAGGTAGAGATGGAGGCAGAGCAGGAGCTCAAGTTGGCTAATTGCTAGCTCATCTTTGGAGAGAGAAAACTCAGTCCTGGCATCTTGAGCCAAGGGTGAAGGTCGAGGTGGGCCATGGGTTTTTCTTCCCCCAGCTCTGATGGGGTTGAACTCTTGGGGCTGCCCCTCCTCCTTCTCCCTTCCTCCAGGATTTCCTTGATTTTAATTTATTCCACAAAGCCCAGTGCTTTCCATGCACAGTAGCCTAAACAGATACCGTGGTTACCCTCCTTCTCCATGGTAGTGCCAGAGAGTGAGGGACATCATTCCTTCAGCCATTCACTCAAAGTATATTTATTGAGGGTCTGTTACATACCAGGCACCATCCTAAGCCCCAGGGAAGCATACATCCCTTCCCTCATGGAGCTGCCATTCTGGCAGAAGAGACACGTAACGAACAAGAAATACATACAGATGCCTTCCAGTGGGGCTGTGTGCTGTGCAGAAAGAGAGCTGGAAGGTGGGAGGGATGGCATCAGAAAGGTTGGTCAGGGCGGGCCTCTTTGAGGAGGTGACTTATCTTGGTCTTAAAGTTCCAGTGCGGATGGGGTGGGACTGGAAAGCCAGGCCCCTGTCAGTGAGGAAGGGAGGGGTCAGGCTGTATTTTCTAACTACCGGAGGGGTGACCATCACTTCTGAAGGTGGAGACTTTGTTAGCCTTTTCTGGGGTCCTGCCAGGGTCTTTTGAGTTAAGAGCCCTAAAGTCACCAGCCTGTCACCCCTGGGCCAGAGGCAGCCTCTCCCAGGGAGGGGGTAGTGGGGCTAGAGCCATGGGAAACACACCAGTGAGGAATTTTCTAGGATTTGGAGAGTCTTCTGCAAAAAAAGTTAGGAGTTATGGTCTTAGCACTGGGACTCTGGGCACTGCATCTTTGGCGATACATGCCCCATGTGGTCTTAGTTTCCCCATGTGTGACATGGGCTCTGAGCTTCTGCCACAGGAGCCCCAGAAATGTTTGGGGCCAGATGCTCTCCTGTGCTTTCGCAGGAAGGACAGTCTGGGGTAGTCATGCAGCAGCCAAAGTTTGGGTGTCTCTGGGTTGGTGGGGATCTGGTGCAGAGTCGGGGGGGGAGTGTCCCTGGATTGTGTATGTCGTGGGGGAGCATCAGTCTGCAGAAAGTATTGGGCCTTACTGTCCTGTGAGGGGTAGTCGGGGCAGCTGTGTATCTCACCGTGTCTGCTTCTCTTTCTTCCCAGGGTAAAGTCGAATATCTGGTGAAGTGGAAAGGATGGCCTCCAAAGTAAGGCTCCTTTGTGTGTGTGTGTCTGCCTACCTGTCCACCCTTCCATTTGCCTTTTGCTTCGCTCCCACCTAGCTTTTAGCTCCAGCTGCTTTAGTAATGGCATTTGGACCTTGATTAAATCATCCTCTTCTCTGGGCCTTGGTTTCCCCTCTGCCAGCTCAGGGGCTAGAAGGACATGAGGGTCAAGGTGGGCCCCAACTTTTCTTCTCTCTTGCTCCCCTCTGGGTGAGGCTCCATCTTCTGGTTGGAGCCTCCCCTCCCCTCTTCTGGCTTTTCCTGGCACCTGGGAGGTGAAGGCCCAGCATCTTGGCTTCAGACATGGCTGCTGGCCAGGTGGAGGTAGAGCAAATAGAGTGCTGAGTGGGGGGTTGTGGGGCTGGACAAGACAAGTCTAGCCAGTGGGGCATGAGTCCTCAGTGCCATAGAGCTAGGGGCCAGGGCCTGAGCCCACTTTGCCTTTGGGCAGCATTCTCCAGTCTACCAAGCAGGTTTCCATACAGCCTTGTAAAGCAGGTATGAGGGTGATCTCTAAAGATGAGAAGACATGCTCAGAGAAGGTAAGCACCTTGCCTTAGGTCACACAGCAAGTGGAGGCAGAGGTGGGACTTGACACTGGCCTCCCCAATTTCGGGTATCTCCTCTGTGCCTCCTCCATCTCCAGAAACGGGGGGTAGGTTGCTGGCTCTAGGACCTCTCCCAGTGGCTCCACCTCTCCTGCTGAGGTCCAATCAGGAACCTTCCTACTAACCAATCACCTCCCAACAGGGGGGTGGTAGTGGGAGGGAATGAGCAAGTCGTGGGGCCTCTTCATTGGTTTGTGGGTGCCCTGCCTCCCTGCCCTGCCTGCTAGGGACTGACTCCTGGAAACCCCCGTTGCCCAGAGCGTCTGTTCTCTGTGCCAGCGGCTTTCTGCCGTGTTTACGTTGAGGGCTGACCTGGTATTGGATTCTGGGAGCATCTTGGGGGCCTGGTAGGGAGACACAGCAGAGGGAAATACAGCCTATGTTGCCTCAGCTTCTCGCTCTGCAAAATAGACTCTATAGGGCAGGCCCTGCTCTCCTCTCTGACGCTCCTTCATCTTTGGGGTGCAAGGCCTGGGCGCATGTGTTCAGGGCGACCTGCAGGCATTCTGAGGTTGGGGTTGGGAACTGGGCAACTAGAGAATGCACTGGTCCACTCCTGCTGCCCTGCTGTGCCTCCCCCAACACCCTGGAACTGGAGGGGGATCCCCTCCTCCTCACAGCGGATGAGACGTGGCCTTCCAGCCTGGGTAAAGGAGCAGTAAGAGTTGAGGCAGAGCTAGAAAAGGAAGATGCATAGGGTGGGCAGCAGGAGCACTGATTCCCTGGGTGCACGCTCCCCCCTTAGCTTTTGCACCGGAAGGCACTGCAATGGCGTGTAGTCACCAGTCTGTTGGCCTTTAAGGCACTGTTGGCGATTTTTCCTTCTCTGTGGACTCCATCTTTTGAAAGATTTCCTTCTCTAAACAGAGGTACTTATCAATGAAAAGTTTCTTCTTCCACTTCTTTAATCCCAAATGGATATGTCTGCCTAGCAGGGCTTCAGCCAGGAGAGAAGGGCCTAGCACTCCAAGAGCAGCCCCTCATGTTTCTGCTGGCCTGAGCCCCTGGCCCTGCTGCCACTTGTTTCATCACATGCTGAGACCACCAGGTGGGCCCTAATGACTGCCTCTTGTGACTCCCCAGAGGGGTTCTGGGAGCCCTGTTTGACCAGATGACCTGGGGCATGCCTGGCTCCCCTGCACTTTGGTCCTGGGTTCCTGGCTTGGCTCACACCTGTCCAGGTCCCCAACGTGGTGGGGCCTCTGCTTCCTGATTTACGAATCGGAATAATGAAGCCTCTATCGCAGCATTGTTGTGAGGATTAGGTGATGGAGATGAAGTACCTGGTGCATTCTCAGATGACCAGGCACTTAGGAAATGTTTGCTGTTAATATGAAGTTAGATAGTTCAGCCTCTAGATCTCCCTGCAGCCAGGAAAGGGATCTGGGAGATTCCATTCCTCATTGGAGCTCAAAGTAGCCTTAGAAATGGTTCAGATCAGTCCTCAGATGGGGAAACTGGGGCCCAAAGAGGGAAGATCATGACAAGAATATAACTTCCAACCCCATGCGGTGTGGTACCTACTTCCTGCCACCCACTGCATCACCCCACTTCACTTGGGGGAAAAAAGGTTCAGTCAGAGGGAGAAGCAGGAGAACCCGGGCTCCTTTGTAATCCACTTGGGCTTTAGTCTCCCTTCCTCAGGGGCTCTTGCTTGGAGAAGAGGCTGAGAAAGAGGGTGGGAGTGGGGAGTTGGGTAGGCTGTTGCCTGCAGGTCTGGGAGCCTTGGCTAGGGTAGTGCCAGCCTTGGTAGGGAGAAGAGTCAGATTCTCCTGCTCAGCAGCACCTTCTTTGCCCTGGTCAAGGAGGCTTATATTAATAACAGAAAGCATAATTTAGATTATACACTCACTCTGTGCCAGGCCCCTGTTAGACTATTACATGCTTTGCCCATTTTCTCTCCCCAACTGTAGACAAATGACTGCCCTTCTTCCCCAGCAGATGGGGCAGAGGAGCTATCTTGTTTGTTCTGGAAGGTACAGCAAATTGCCCAGGGAGGGGCTGGGGTCACAGGGCAGAGGATGTTAAATCATCAGTTCCAGGCTCTCTGACCCACAGAGACCCTCAGATACCCCCCTGATTTCAGCCTGCCCAGGACTGCTGTTCCCCCTTTGGAAATGGCATTCCTTTCTTCTTTTCCCACTTGTGAATACTACCCCATCTTTTAGGGAGGACTGCCTCTATGGAGATTTGGTAATGATATTGTCAGTGGGCGCAGCAATAACCAGGCTGCTTATCAGTAAGCACCTTGTATGAGTCAGGCATTGGCCCATTTTTAATTGCCTCATAGCAACCCATTTTACAGATGGGCACACAGAAATCCCCAGCAGAGGAGTCTGTGTTCAGGGTCAGATACAGCTGGGATGATTTGAACTATGGTTTACCTGATCCCAGAGCTTGGGGCCTACACAATCAGCTCTGCCAAAGGTGACTGAGGATCTTTTGCCTGTTCCTCTCTTGGCCGTTCAGTAGGAAGTGCTCAGGCTTTGGAGCCAGACCAGGCTGCCTTTGAACCCTAGTTCTGTAGATTTACAAAGCCCTCAACCTCCGCAACTCCATTTCTCTATCTGTCCAATGAGGCCCTAGCCTCACAGGACCCTGGGGAAGGCTGCCTGAGACAAAAGTTTCCTAGCCAGGGACAGAGGAGGCGCGCCTTCCTCTTCCAACGCCGGGTTTTCAGTACCAACAGCAGAGTCCAGGGTTCTGGCCTGGCAGGTGTTCGCACTCTAGTGGAATCGATTTAATTAACGCGTATTTGCTTTTACTATGTATCACACTGAGCTAAGTGCTTCACGTGGTTTAGCACAACTAATCGTCACATTAAGCCCCAAATTCAGGGACCTTTGGTAGTCCCACTTTACGGACGAGTAAACGGAGGCCCCAGCGGCGGACGAACCTGTGCACCGCCGCGCCCCTCATTCTCCGACCTGAGCGCGCCACGCTGCTTCTCGTTTTGGGGGGGCTTTAAATTGGAGGGGGACTGGGGTGGGCCTGGCTTTGGGGGGCCCCGCCCCCCGCACGGCGGGAGCCTGCGCAGCGCGGCTCAGGCGGGGCGGCCGCGAGCCTGTTTACCCGGCCTCGGGGGCGGGGCGGTCGGTCACGTGGCCGTGTTTACCTCGGGGCTGGCGCGCTCCGTCCCGCCCCCGCTCCCCATTGGCTGGCCTGGGAATCCGGGGCGCGCCCACCTCTGTGCGCGCGCGCGCACGGCGGCTGTGCTGCAGGGGGCAGGGCGGGGCAAAGTGGGGCTCTCCGCCCCGCCCCCGGAGCGCTCCGTTCCAGGCCTACCCGCGCCGGTCCCTCTGCTCGCTCCACCCCGCCCTGCCGCCCGCCGGCTGTGCGCCCTGGTACAGCGTGCGCCTAGCTCTTCCCAAAGCGCGTTTGCCCTCGCCGTGGCCCCGGCTCCGCACATTACGGAGCAGGGCTAATGGCCTCCGCTTTAGGGGGCGGGGGTGTCCGGAGAGGGAAACGCTAGTGCAGACCCCCAGCCTTTCTCTCCCGCAGCATGGAGCCGGACCAGGCCTCCTGCTGCTTACTTAGTCTGACCTTGTCCCACTGTTATACACCTCCAACTGCCCCAGTCCAGTAACCATCCCCGCTGAATCCGCTGAGCCTTTCCGTGCACCCACTGTGTGCAAAGCCCCAGTCAAACACAGGACGTGGCCAGTCAGGCACTATCGACATCACAGACCGGTGGGGAGACAGATGTAGTGACAAGTGAAAGACCCCAAGGTAGAGGGTAGCCAAGATTCAACAGTGCCAACCACAGACTGGCCGCTTTCTGTCTCAATGACCTCGGCAAGATGCTTACCCTCCTTGCCTCCCGTTTCTTCATCTTTAAATAGGGTAACCTACCCCATGGTGGTTTTTATGAGGAATAGATGAGTCCCTGGCAGTGAGTTGTGCTCTTACCATGATGGTGGTGGTGGTGATTCTTAAGATGAGGAAATTGAGGTCCAGAGAAGGTTAGGGACTTGCCGGGAACCACACGGCACCCACATCAACAAAAAATGGGCAGGGCAGTGTGTAGGACAGAGAGGACTGGAACACTGTAGAGACATCTTAGCAGCTAGAGGAGAGAGGGCGAGGCAGAGGACACAGGAGGAACACAAAATTCCTCCTTTCTTGTAACTAGATAACAGCTGAGGAAATTTAACCTTTGTTTTGGAAGAGGAAGTTTTGGAGTCTCTGCCAGTTTCTGGTTGCTTACACTTTGGGCTTTATGCAAACTATCAAAAAGCCCCAGTTTCACTTTTAGCTTTTCTTCAGGGTGAGCAGAACTCTACGGTGGCTTCTATAGCCATTCCCAGAGCACCTAGGGGCTGGGGCTGGGCACCCTGGGGTGGGGGCTTACATAGCCTGCCAGCCAGGATGCCAGCTGGATTCATCAGTAATTTTGGCAGGTGCCAAGTGCACCAGGCTGTGGCGAGCAGCAGAGGGGAGGGTGCATTCTGAGGGGAGTGAGACAGCTTGAGGAGGATGTCAGGGGAAACTACAAGGGCCTGGCTCCTGAAGGATGAGGAGGAGGTCAGGGAGGGACTGGCCCTCAGGCGGAGAGAACAGCCGGTACCAGGGAGGTGCGACTGTGCCTGATAAGGCTGGGCGTGGGGCACTTGGGTAGGGACTGTGAGGTCCTCAGGGCTTGGACCTTTGTTGCGGAGTCCACAGAGCCCGACACGGGCCCCGACACAGAGTAGGTGTGCGGAAATGTCAGCGGAAGGAAGGAGGAAAGGATTCTGTGTTGGAATCTGGATTGGACGACTGGTAGCTGTCAGTGTCCCAGGACAGTTTAGCTCTGCTGGTTAGGAGATAGCAGGAGCAGGGGCTCCACCCGGCCTCTCTCTGCCTCCTGACACCTGCTCACCTCCCTTCTTGTCCAGCAGAGCTGGGTGCAGCCTGGGCCAGAATCACAGTCTGTTGCTTTGGTGTGGTTTGTACATAGACGTGTATGCACGTGAACATATATGTGTGTTTATATGTTTGTACATGTGTTGTATGTTTGAAAACATGTATGTATAGACACATTCAGTTATGTGTTTTAAAACTTTTCATTTTTTATTCATTATCATCTGTTTATGGTGAGTGACACTAGTGTTTCCATTTATGGAAGCCATAAAGGTTTTTTTTTTTTTTTTTAGTAATCTCTACACCCATCGTGGGGCTCAAACGCACGACCCGAGACCAAGAGTCACATGCTCCTCTGACTGAGCTAGCCAGGCGCCCCTAAAGTTTGTTTTTAAAATAAACTTATTAAACAAAAAAAGCGAGCTGCTTTAAAGGCAGGTGTTAAGTAAACAGCAGTGCAGGTGGAACAAAGATGGCTTGAGCTGTGGAACCGCTGAGCTGTCACTCCCAAGACTGGCCCACCAGGGGATGCTCTGTGGTCTGGGGGTGGTGGAAGGTCCCTGCTGGAAATACCGATAGCCACCTACCCAATTCCTGCTGTGGGCCAGGCCCTGCTGTGAAGGTACAGATGTGTGCCAAGGAGGGAGGGAGCAGCTCAGCCCAGGCAGAGGAGGCCGGTGCGGGGCGGGGGTGGGGGGGCAGCAGCCATAAGCACCGGGCACTGCGCTAGGCACTGAGATGAACTCATTCAGGAGCACAAGAGTTCTTTACTGATAGAGAAACGGAGGCACAGGGACCTTGAGTAAATCCTTCAAGGTTGTACAGCTAGCAAGGGCAGGGCTGGGATCTGAACCCAGGTAGTCTGGCACCAGAGCCTTGGCCACATGCTCAGGCCTCTCAGGAGAAGGGAGTCCTGGGAGCGGTGCCCTGTGCTTCTGAGCATGAGGTCTAACTGGGTGTTGGATGCGGTTATTTGTAGGGTGGTGTGATCAGTGCTCAGAATGAGGGGAGTTCTGGTGTCGTCGGAGCCGCCTGACCTGGCCTGGGCAGCCAAGGACAGCTTCTGGGAGTAGGTGACAGTTATGCTGGGCCAGGAAGGGGGCAAGAGCCTGCAGAGGGCAGGCCCCGGTGGAACAGCTGTAGCCTCAGGGAATGCCGGTGGGGGGCAGGGCAGCTTCCGACCTCCTGTTTCTCTCCCCAGGTACAGCACGTGGGAGCCGGAAGAGCACATCCTGGACCCCCGCCTGGTCATGGCCTATGAGGAGAAGTAAGGGGGCCTCAGGCTGCCACTGGGGCTGGGCATAAGTCAGGCTTTGAGGTTTCATAAGGAGCCTGCTGCAGGCTTGGTTCTGAATGAGGGGCATGGGCATGGGGGTGGCGGGGGTCTAGTCTGCAGCTGAGAGAAAGGGGGTGGGCACCAGGTCCCAGGGCAGCTGAGGGACCTGGTGCCCTTTCCTATTGCTGAGTGATGTTGGCCACTTCTCTAACCTCCCCAGGCCTCAGTCTCTCTGCTGTAAAATGGGCCATCCCTAATAACACCGGCTCTGATTCCCCCAAAGGTAGGGCTTTCAATTGCTGTGAAGGGTATAAAAATGCTTTACAGAGATGCCCTGTGTGAGGGGCAGCAAAGTCCGTAATGGGCAGTCATGGCCTTGGCGACAGATTCAGAGAGAGATTCTCCCTAGAGACTCTCTCACCAAGAGAAGGAAAGTCCGGTGAAGCTTGAGAAAGGCCAGGGGAGGGACTGTGGCTTTGGAGCAAGGATGTCTGAGTTCTGGTCCGTCCCACTTGGCCACCTCCCAGCTCAGTGGCCCTGGACAAAGCTCCCCCGGGCCTCAGTCTCCTTTATCTGCCAATGCTCTGCTCTGACTCCGAAGGCTGGTTAGTGATTGGCAGCTCCTCCGATGGGCGGTGAGGGTGCATCTCAGGGGAGAGCCTTTGACAAAATGTTGTTTCTCCTGATGTGGGAGCCTTTTGAGTCTAAACATCCCCATTTGCTGTAGGAGCCCCAGCTTTACCGACCTTCCTGCCAGCAGGCAGCCCCAGTCCTTCTGCCTCTTCCCATCCTGCCCACTTGACAGGGCGGGATCTTGGCACAAAATCATTTCCATTTGGCCCTTTACGGTAACCTCCTGAGACGGGGATGAGAGTCTCATCTGACGGATGAGGAAGCTGAGGCTCTGGGAGCTAAGGGGCTTGTCAGGGGGACCTCACAGCTGGGAAGCCCCCTAACCCAGGCCTCCCGACTCCCAGTCAGATGCCCTTCCCCTGCCCCTCCTTGCCCCCTTCCCACTGGTTCTCCCCAGGAAGTGTCCTGCCGCCCATTCCAAGGAAAACTTTCCCCTGTTCCTGTTCTTTCCTTTAAAAATCAGGGTGTCCCTGTCCCACAGCTTTTCTCTGGCTCCTGGGCGCTTGGTGGGGCCTTGATCTAAAAGGATTGTGGTGCTTGGGGGAATCCTGTGGAGTGCCCTGAACTGCAGTGAGGAGAGCATCAGGCAGGTGTCCAAGTCCTGAATTAGAGTTCTGGCTCTGCTACTCATCAGCTGTGTGGTGGTGGGCAAGGCCTTCTCCCTCTTGGGGCCTCATCCTCCCCATCTGTGAAGTGGGGACAATAATGCTGACCTTATGGGGCTCTCATGCGGAGCAAGGGGTATGAAAGCACTTTGTAGACCAGTAAGTGTGGGAGCACGTGTGTGAATTATCTCCCTGATGGTAACTAAGGGTCATTCGTTTGCTTGTTCAACAAGTCTTTATTGAGGTTCTGCCATGTGACAGACACTGTTCCAGATGCTGGGGACACAGCAAGGAGCAAAACCAACGAACATCCCTATTCTCACGGGGCTTGAATTCCAATGCAGAGACACACAATAAAAAAAAACACCAATAAATGTATATGATATCAGATGGTCATAACTATTGCAAAGACAGGGTTGGGGGCAGGGAGAGGGATGGGTGGGGGTGCAGGGATCAGTGGGGTGGCTGGGTGGGGGTTTGACCATAAACCTGGATTACGTGAGGGAATGAGCCCGGCAAGTATTTTAGAGGAGGACATCCCAGGTAAAGAGAACAGTGCAAAGGCCCTGGGGTGAGAGCCAGTGTTTAAGGAACAGCATGGAGGCAAGCATGGGTCTGAGTGTGGCCGGCTGGAGTGGTGTGAACTGGGTGAGGTGGGGGAGATGAGGTGGGAGTAGGGCAGCTGAAGGAAGGGGGAGCACAGCTCCGGGAGTGCCACATAAGTCCTGGTGGAGGATTTGGATCTTATTTTGAATGAGTCAGAAAAGTCAATAGTTAAGGAACAAAAGAAGAGCTTGGAGACTTTTACAGACCCACTGTGTGACTTTTGGCCTACTTCTCTCTCAGTCTTGGTGAAGAGGGGGTAAAAGAGGGATGATGTCCACTTAACACCTGCCTTGCAGAGTTTTAAAGAGACTCAGAAGGAGTCTGGCAAGGGGGCTCTTCTGCGGAGTCCCGCCCGCAGGGAGAGGCTGAGAGGGCGCGACTCCAGGGTGCCACTGCCCTGCGGCCCTGGACGTTGATGGGCAGGATCCACCTGGGTGGTGAGGACTGGATAGAATGGACCCCTCCCCCTTTACGCACGCACGCACACACACATGCACACACGCTGCAGATTGGAAACCAGGATCATGTGGCCTGGATTCCAGGCCTGCCCTGCTGGCCCTGATGGACCCTGGGCCTGACCCTGACTAGGCCTGGAGCCCAGAGCTCAGCAGCCGACATTGTCATAATTTTGGCATTGGGCAAGTGACTTAACCTCTCTGGGCCTCAGTTTCTACGACTATGAGGTGTGGATAGTAACCGTGGCTCCCTCACAGGGTGGCTGTGCGGGTTAGATAGAGGGTTGCCTTGTGCAGAGTATCCAGTGCATGATGATCATAAACAACGCTCATATAAATATCATAAACACACTATCATCATTATTCTTTTCCCCTACAGCCTTTCCCTCTCCCCTGTCTACTTCCTCCTCCTCTTCCTCTCTTCTTTCTCTTCCCTCTCTCCCCTACCCCACTTTAGTATTTTAGCTTGTCTACCCTCCATTTTGATAAATCCCAGGGACCTCTCTTGTTCCTCCCGAGAGCCCTGGTGGCCAGGGGAGAAGGGACCCTCTTGCTCCAGACGAGGACACTGAGGTCCAGAGGAGAAGTGACCGGCCAGGGTCTCCCGTGGGTCAGGGTAGAGCTGGGCCTGGAACAGGGTGTCCTGGGGCCCAGCACCGGCTTCTGCGAGAAGAATCTCACCCTCAAGGGCGGCAGGTCTGTCCTGGCAAGCCAAATGGCTGGTGTCACAGTGTGATCAAATGCTGGCTCCTGGGCCCCACAGCAGGCCGACTCCACAGGGAGGGAGGGAGGGCCCCATGCGCCCCGAGGGCAGCGCTGCCCCGAGGAGGGAGGAGGACGAGTGGTGGAAAGGGCTGCCCGGGGCTGGGGCTGGTTTCCCCCAGCTCAGATGGAGAGACTGCCTGGGGTCACAAAGCCTGTACGGGGAGGGGGGGTGCACTCCTGGCCTCCACATTCTCGCTGCTGCCCACATGGCCTCTGCAGCGGGGGCCGCAGAAAGTGGGGTGGGATGAAGTGAAATCGGCAGGATGAATATGGCGCTGACGTTTTCCACTGCTCCCGGCGCTGTCGTTGGAGTCTCTGTTATGTTGTGTCTCGTGCGTCATGTGTGGCTTTGTACGCATCCTCGGGTTGTGCCTGTGTGTTTGGGATGTGGGGAGGGCACCCCGCAGAGAGTCTGACACCTACTAGGGACTCAGTGCAGGCGAGTTTCTCTCCCTTTCCCGAACCAGATGATACAGGTGAGAGCCTGTCCTCTCCACCAGGGTCATGCAGATCCCAAATGGGGAAAAACCTGGGCAGAGCTTCACTTAAAAGAGGACCGGTCCCAGTCTCAGCAGCTCTCCTGGGACACTGGAGGCAAATTTGATTGACAGGTTTCTGTACCACTCTCCCGAGAGTGGAAGCTGGATCTGCGTTGCTTTGGAGGCTGTACCCAGTGGCATGGAGAGCAGAGCTCCGGTGTGACCCTGGAGCCCAATAAACACCCACATACTTTTGGAGACGTCACCCAAGTCCCGCCTTAGCGATTAGGACCAGTGGCTGTGGCCCCCCCCCACTTTTGCCAGATGGGAAGACCGAGGTCCTGGGATTTGAACGTGGGGCCCCGCTGTTATGGTGTAAAGAGAGCAATGGGGAGGAGTCCCTACCCTAGTATTGGGGGGTGGCCTATGGCGGGTGCCCCTTTGCCCGTCGACAGCAGAGTGTGAGGTGGAGCGGATGCTTTACTTTCCCTTAAATGTCACCAGTGTTTGCTTTTCTTCTGCCATCTGCTTTGCACCCCAGGGAGGAGAGAGACCGAGCGTCGGGGTATAGGAAGAGAGGCCCGAAACCCAAGCGGCTTCTGCTGCAGGTAACCCCGCCAGCCTTGGTGCCCATCCACAGGTCCCCCTGCTCCTCCCACCAGTCTCCCCCACCCTCTGCATTTGCACCAGCTAGTTGACCTGAACCACTCACCGTCCTTGCTCTGCCCAGGGCACTGTGGGGTGGGGGCCCTTAGTGGGTAAGTCTCCATGGGGGGAGTGTGGGGAAGGAAGACAGCCGGCGGGGGGAAGTGCTGTGGGGTTTGGGGGAGGGTGGGTATATGGCTGATGGGAGCCTAAAATTTTGAAAGCTTAGAATCTTGTAAATAAGCCTTTATGAGACTCAAAGTCCCCCAAACATTGTAATATTTGTAGGACCTCAGAAACATAAACTTTAGGATTGAGGAAATGTGGGAGCCTAGGGTTTTAGAACCCAAGAAAGGGAGACTCAGAATTCTGGAACTGTTGTCTTGGGATGCCCTAGAAATGTGGCATTTTTGAGAAAGGAGAAACCTACGGGGCCCCCTTTTCCAGTCCTCTGCCAGAGGCGGGCGTCTAGACTCCGGAACACCTCAAGTTACCCAGGTCTTGGGGCCCCTTTGCTGACTTCACTGCTTTGCGTGGGAAGCGGGTGGAGTTTGAAGTGATGTGATATGAGGCAAGTCTCTTTGCCTCTCTGAGCTTGAATTTTCTCATCTGTAAAATTGGGATGATAAGCATAGCTGCTCTCCTTAATTGAATAAGTTTCACCCAGGTGTTCGAAGCCAAACGATAAGGCTTCTTGGTCCACACAGTGTGAGCCATGGCCAGTCTCCTGCCCACCCTTGAGTACAGATCACCTGAAGCTTTGGACAGAAAAGATGGGTTTCCCTTCACGCAGTGGGCATTTTCCATGGGGTTTGGAATGAATTGGGTCCCAGGAAGAAAGGTATCTGTCTGTCGCACGTCTTTCCCGAACTTAGCAACTTAGAGCAATAAACACTTAGCATATCACAGTCGGGTGGGTCAGGAATTCAGCAGTCCTGTAGCTGGTTTAGTGATTCTAGTTCACGTTACAGTCGTGATGCCAACCGGCGCGCGCTCATCTGGATGTTTGACTGGGGCGGCGTGATCTGCTTCCAAGGTGGCTCCTCACATGCCCGCAAGTCAGCTCTGGTTGTTGACAGGAGGCCTGGGACTTTCCATGCGGACCTCTCCGAGGGCTCCCGGGTGGCCTGACAGTGTGGCCACTAGCTTCCCCCAGAGCGGATGATCCAAGAGCAAGGGAGGAGCACAGTGTCTTTAATGAGCTAGCCTTGCAAGTCCCACACCCCAGCACCCGGGGCCGAGGGGACCTGGGTGTGAACTGCTTGAGGCGGGCCTTGCTGGGGCAGTCTCAGAGGCCGGCCACTGCAGTTTCTTCACCATCAACTGACGAAGAAACTGAGGCTCCAGGAGGCCAGGAGTTTCCCCAGGGTGACACAGCTGGATCCAAACCTAGGTCTGACTCCAGGGGCTCCGGGATGCCTGTTAGTAGCTGAGGTCCTCCCTTGGTGAGGTGGAGAAGGGCAAAGACCAAGCGCTTTGCAGTGTTGGAGTTCACTGGGCTCGTGATGGCCGCTGCGCCAGGCTGAAGGAGCGGGTTTTGGTTAAGCTGCAATAGGATAAGCCCTCCCAACATTGCAGTCTTGTCCCGACCTCTCCCTGGCCAGCCCTCCTCCTGTCCCATAACAGCCTGCGTCCCGGGCCGAGTGACGGGCATTAGCGGGCAGGACGGGAGAACGGAGCCTGTGTGTGCGATCTCGGCTCCCAGCTGGGGGATGTTTGACCTACAGGCCCCATCTCATGGCCTCACTCTCTTCCTGGGGGCTCTTGGCCTCTGGTGACAGGTGGCAGCAGAAGATACTGTCCCGGAGGGATCCAGGCCCTCCCAGCACCTTAGCACCAAGGATCTTTCTTGGATCTGTACACATCTTGGCCAAAGTCAATAAAACAAATCCCTAGAGTACAAAACTCCAGCCCTTAAGTGGTGGAACACGTGCCCTCCAGCCCCATCCTAACAAGAGTGCCATGTGGCGTCGCAGAGGGCTGGGCCCGCAGCTCGGAGTGGAGGAGGACCCCAAGAATCTTAGGGCATCCACCTCACACCATCTCCTTGGCCTGCTGGCTGTTTCAGCCTTGGGGGTCCTTTAGTAGGCAAAAATTCCTTCCCCGTGATGAAGAATAACTCCTTAGTTTATCTGCTTCATAAATCCAGATTTGCTTTTTCTTGGTCAATTTTCAGTCCGTACTCTTGGATGCTCCTCTGCTGTGTGGCCCCTGTCCCCGAGCCACCTGCACCTCCCCCCGCCGCCCGGGGAGATGAGGTGGCACCAGGCCAGGCCTGGGGCTGGGCTGGTCAGGGGTGGCTTTCTGGGCTGGGCTGGGGGCTGGGGTAATTGCTGGCTCTGGGCCATGCAGCACAGGGAAGGGCACTCCAGGCGGGAGGAACAGCATGAGCAAAGGCGCGGCCGCGGCCGGGAGGGCAGGGCTGACCCGCCGTGCCCTGGCTTGCCCCCGCAGCGGCTGTACAGCATGGACCTGCGGAGCTCCCACAAGGCCAAGGTCAAGGAGAAGCTCTGCTTCTCCCTGACGTGCCCACTCGGCAGCGGGAGCTCTGAGGGGGTGGTCAAGGCAGGGGCGCCCGAGCTGGTGGACAAGGGCCCCTTGGTGCCCGCCCTGCCCTTCCCGCTCCGCAAGCCGCGCAAGGCCCACAAGTACCTGCGGCTCTCACGCAAGAAGTTCCCGCCTCGCGGGCCCGACCTGGAGAGTCACAGCCATCCACGGGAGCTCTTCCTGCAGGAGCCAGCAGCCCCGGACGTCCTGCCCGCAGCCAGCGAGTGGGAGCCCGCTGAGCAGCCCCCCGAGGAGGAGGGTAAGGTGGCCCCTCGCCCCCGTCCCAGAGCCCCTGAGAGCTGGAGAGTCCCCTTGAGTCGTCAGGTCCAATTGCTGCAGTGCCCGGAGGGGGCCCAGGGTGCTCCTGAGGCCACACAGCCCGCGGGGGCCCTGGCACCGCCCCAGCTCTTCCTGTGGTCCCGCTGTTGGGGCGGGTGGTCCAGGCAGGGAAGACACTCCTCCCGGGTGTCCAGCCTTGAGCTAGGCCCGGAGCTGGAGCCGGTGCTGGGCGGGCGGGGGTCTGCATGCCCCCCACCGACCTTCCCTATGGTGTTGTCAAGGCCGTCCTCATCTCTCCGTCTTTCTGTCTTTCTCCCGTGCCTGTCGCAGATGCAGACCTGGCCGAGGGGCCCCCTCCTTGGACACCCGTGCTCCCCCCAAGTGAAGTGACAGTGACCGATATCACCGCCAACTCCGTCACCGTCACCTTCCGCGAGGCCCAGGCGGCTGAAGGTTTCTTCCGGGACCGCGGCGGGAAGTTCTGAGTCACCATTTTTACTCTTCGTAAACTGTTTGCTTTTGGGCTTGGGGTGGGGACTTCCAGAGATGGGGAGGGGTTGGGGGCGGGGTAATTATTTTATTTAAAAAAATATGGAACAGGAGCAGGGGGCAAGATCCCGACACTTTCCCGCCACCTCGCCCGTTTCTCTGCGCCTGATGTTTACAGAAAGGGTTGGTGGTCTGTTTTGGGGGCTGGGGCTGGGGCGGCCTGGCATCGCTCTGCCCAGCAGGGGGTCATCTCTGGGCCAGGATGGAGACAGGGCCACCCATCCCTGGACACCTCCATCATCATTCTTCTCTAGAGACGCAGCAGCTGGTCCCAGGAGCCAAAGGAGAATGGAGGGCCCAAATCCTTTCCCTTGAGCCCCCCACTCCCTCCTTTCTGGTTGGTTTCCCTTTTCCTTTTTGGGGGTGGGGGGGTCTTTATTTTTAACTTTCCACTCCAGCTTTGCGGTGGGACATAGAGGCTGGCTTTGACCAAAAATGACCGGGTCAAGACGAGGGGGCAGGAGGAAGGCTTTGCGGTTGTTGTGGTGCGTCCCATACCCTTCCCTGGGCATGGCTGCCAGCTGAGCCCCTTCCACTGGGAGCCCCCCCCACCCCACATCACCTGGCATGTGAGAAACACTCATGTGCACACCCAGCCACACAGGCGTGCACACCCGGCCCCGGGACCCTGTGACTGCGGGCAGTGTGTCTGCAGATGCGCGCAGTGGGTCTTGTAAACCTCCTGTTGAGAACCCCGACCTGGTGAATTGTGGGGTGACTCCCAGCCTCAGAACTTGTCACGGGCACCCCACGCTTACCAGCCTTGCCCAGCACGTCATGTGACAGGATCGCTCCCGACTCAGTCTGCTCACAGCTGTCCGCAGATGTGGTTCCGTGGCTTTACTTGGCCAGCCGCAGGTACGCCGTGGGTCAGCACGGGCTCTGAGGCACGTGGGCCCTGTCCTTCCTCCCCCGAGGGCTCTTGTTTTCTCTGACTCAGGTGACTTTTCAACCCTACCCACTCCTCTCTTTTGCTGCCCTCCCAGAGAGGGAGGGAGCATCCCACCACCTTCTCAGGGCAGCCTTCAACTCCCGAAACCCTTCCTCCTTCCATTCTGCGTCCCCTCCCCATTCATCCTAATTGCCACAGCTGGGAGTGACCTAGTGTTCCTGGGGGGGCCTCTGCCATGTCTTCCTGCAGTGGGGCTGCAGTGGATGGTGGGTCAGGCTGTGTATGAGCCCCCGCCTGCTTGGCAGGGGCTGTGGCCGCCAGGAGGAGGGGCTCTTGCTTTCTGCTTTGCACAGATGTGCACTGTGGCCAAATAGCTTCCCAGGCCGCGAGGAGGGGCTGTTCCCCTGCTCCAGCCCTGTAAGGGAGAAAAAGCCAGGTGGGGCTGGGCACGGGGGAGCAAAAGTAAAAGGCCGGCTCCCTCCACCCTTCCCCTATCATCAGAGTTGGGCACTGGGGGGTGGGGCCCTGCCCACCCTCTCCCAGGGCCCTCTCCCCACTCTGCTTTGTCCTGAGGAAGTCAGCAGAATCCCGCTGAGGCGAGGATAGGGTGATTCTTCTCCCAGACCCCTTCTTCCCAAGTTCCCAAACCAAAGACAGCCTGGACCCCATTTTTGTTTGGGGTGCCCTGCTGGCAAGATTCCTAAATCCCTGAGTCTCTCTCTCCCCTTCCTCCTTAATCCTTTGTTGTCCAGGGTCAATTCAGTGCTTCCATTCGGGGGTGGTCCTCTCTGGTGGTTCCTCCCAGCCTAGGAAGTTGACTCTAGAGGAGTATGTGAGGGCGGACCAGGGAAGGAGGGGCAGCAGAACTCCCCCCCAACCCCGCCCCATCCAGCTGTGAGAACCTGGGTCCAGGAAGGGCAGCCTGGAGTTGGGGGACTCTCCCAGGACATGGGCTCCCAGCAGATGTGAGGGTGTTGGAGCGGTGGGGGGGGCGGCCGGGGGGGGCCTCTCTAATCGAATGCTATTGGCCGTGGCTTTGGGGCTGGGCTGGCAGCTTGCAATAGAAGGCATACACCCCATCCCGCAGGGGACATGGGACCTCTTCCTGCCTCATGGGCACTTTCAAAGAGCTGTTTGTGCAATTTGCGGGCTTGGGGGAGTCTGGGGGGGGCCGTTTGTGGAGTGAGACAGCTGATGTTCTGTCTGCTGCAGCAGGATGCTTCTTGCCTCTTCCTCAGCCCTTGAAGGCACGCAGGGTGTCCTGCATCTCAGAGAGGGGCTCCCCACGGCTCCCCAGGTTGGAGACCTCTATGAAGGGCTGGGTGTGGTCTTGCAGGCCTTTGCCCAGCCCTGAGCGTCCCAGCGGGGCCTGGGACACTGAGCTCCCACCCCACCCCACCCCATCCCAGAAGGCCAGTACTCTCAGCGGTGGGGACGCTTAGAAAGAGTTGGACCGTCTGTCTTTCCTTCCCCAGCCCCCACCCATTTTGAATGTAGAGAGCCCGAGCCCGATCGGTACTTCCCTCTTGCTGTGGGATGGGGTGAGGAGAGGGTTCCCCCACCCCTGGCTGGGCCACTTGCAATGCCCAGCCGATGCCCTGTCATCCCTCCAGGGGGATGATCCCATTGCTGACTCCCCTCCTGCAGGGGGAGGCGCTATGCCCATGTAAGGTGGCTTAGCTTTGCTTTGTAAGTGGCCGGCCTGAACTCCACATCTCAGCACAAGAAGGCTGCCTTTGCACGGAATGAGCGTTGAGCTTTGTTCAGACAACGTGAATGTATTTGGGAGGGTTGGGGGCGCGGGCTGATTCCAAGCACATGCCTTTTCTGAGCGAGTGTGTGCTGGGAGGGCTAGAGCGGATGCAGAGCGCGGTTTATTTTTGTACTGATATTGGTAAGAGACTGTATAGCATCTATTTATTTAGATGATTTATCTGGTAAATGAGGCAAAAAAATTATTAAAAATACATTAAAGATGATTTTGAAAAAAAACTCTCGCATTCGAGCCTTCCTTTGGTGGTGTCACAGCCGGGCCGAGGGAGGAGCTCCAGCCCCCAGGGTGGCAGCCTGAGGGGGAGGTCCCGGGTCTGCCAGTTACCAACCATGACCTTAGGCTGGCCAGCCCATTTTCAGAGACCTCCAGATGTACAGTGAGATGAATTGGGGTGGGGGGTGGGGAAGTGGAAGCTGGCACGGAGATGGGTGGATGCCCACCGTGGGGGTCCCTGCAGGGTGTCATCAAAGGTGGAGTGGGGCTTCTGATCTCTTCACCTTTTCTCTGCTTCCTGCCCAGTGTGTTCTATTTTAGAACCGGGGGGGGGGTGGCGGGGAGGGGGTCAGTATCCCCAGTCTTTGTAATTGCAGGTTCTGGAACCCAGGACTGTTGCGAGCTAACGGTCCTCTGCTGTGTAGACACGCTCGGCGGCACAGCTGTCTGAGCCCAAAGGGTGTGGTCGGGGCCCAAATGAGTGACAGCTGGGAGAGTCCTTTAAGCTTCTCCGCATTTAGGTTCACCCTGGGCTCAGGGTAGAGACTGGACGGGAGCACACAGGGCTGGTGACAGAGAGCAGGTAAGAATCAGCTCACATCCCGGCCCTCCCTGCAGCCACCCAGGTGGGGAGTGATGGCGGCCACAGCTGTGGACATGTCCGTGGATGAGGGGGAACGGAGAGGCTGGAGATGGACTTACGTGGTAGAATTGTCAAGACCTGGGCAATGATTTGGTGGGAGGGTAAGGGGGGCGTCACGATTATGCCCGGGTTTCTGGTTCGGACAACCGAGTAGATGGTGGTTCTTCAGCTGGATGGAGGCTGAAGGAGGAGAAGTAGGATTGGAAGTACCTTGGTGACCCCCAGAAGCAGAGCCTACGACAGGGGTTTTCTCTGGGGAGTGATCCCAGGAGCAGGAGTGAGGGAGTAGCCTGGGTCGGGGAAGAAAGAAAAGCCATGGAAGGTGCATTACTGAGGTCACCGTGTCATTCCAACTGAGATGACCCAACAAGTACAACCACGTCTCCCAGAGTTGTCCATTCCCAAAGGATGAGGAACGGGAGCATTCTTCACTGCCTGCCATCCATCGCTGGCTGAGGGTTGCCCCGGGGGGCGCTAGCCCAAGCCCCCAACTTCCGAGCTCTGCATGCGCCCGCTTCCACCATCCGTTACCCCCTCTCTCGTGCTGCTGGAAGAGCCTGGGCCAGCAAGTGGAGACAGGCAACCGTGCGCCCCATCCTCAGCTGAAACAGAGCCGCGGCCAAGACACGAGTGCCCTGGGGACCACTGATGGCGTCTGACCCCGCCCAGCCCTCGCACTCTGCTCCCCTTTGTGCATTCTCCGTACAGACTCGCTCTTTCACGGAGTCTCCAAAGAGGTGGCCAGGTATAATCTCTAAACAAAAGACTTGACACTGAGAGTCCTCAGTGCTGCAGCTGGCCCCAAGCCTGTCACGGACGCTCCTCATCTCCCTCCTCCGCCCCTCGCTCGGCCCCGGTGCCCACCGGTCCAGGCTGTTTGCCTGGTGGGGCGACCCAGCCTCTCACCCGGGAGGAGTCTGCGCCCTCGCTGACTCGTCTTTGTCAGATCAGCTGCAGCTGCTGCAGGTGCCCGTTTATGATTGCCGTGGGGCCCCAGGAGGGACCTCAGCGACGCCTGTGCCCGCAGCATGGAGCAGCAACCCTGGTGTCTCGGGTCTTCGAGGCCAGTTAACCACATCAATTAAGTGACCACTGTTTTTGCCCAAGGGACTAGGTGGCAGTGGGGGCTTCTGCGGAGTTCCTTCCACTGTCCCCTGGGGGAGCGTTCCCTCCGCTGGAAACTAGGGCCAGGGTCTAAACTGCAGGGGTGAGGAGGGCCAGTGCGGCGCCCGCCCCGCTGCTCTCCCTGGACGCAGCGCCGTTGGTTCGGCACGTACACTAGCTCCTGGAGGACAATGGCCCGACTCCGCAGGGTGACAATGGCGGTGAAGGGCCAGGTGGTGTGCGCAGAGCAGACAAACCTTATTGCGCGTCAGTGTCCCAGTCTGGTAAAAGCTTGAGCTGCCCACTTCTCCAGCAGGAAAGGAATCCAGCGTAATCAGCTCGCCGGGAAGGGCCCGGCTGCTCTCCCTGAGGGATGATGCTCTATCGAGGGCCGACCTCAGCGCCCGCCTCCGACAGGTGCGCCGTTCATCAGCTATGGGAACGAGCTGTGGGAGCAGCTCTGCGAAAGGAAGCGCAAGCTGTTAGGCCATGCGTCACCTCGCGTCATCCACTGGGGTCATTCCACGGGTGGGTTTCTTGTGCAGGTACTGGTGGAAAGGACAGAGGCTGGCTGTCACCCTGCGTCCGACGTGAGATCTTCTCTATGCTGAGTGCTCTCCGACGGGCACAAATCTGCGATACAGTGTGCCCCCTTCAGGAGGACATGGTCAGACGTAAGAAATCCATCCCAAATGTCCACCAGCCTGAGCCTTCGGGCCCTTCCTCCAATCTATGCCAAGACGGTTTCAGCATCTGTTGTGGTCACCTCAGAGGCCGATGAGCCCCCCCACCCCAAATTTGGTGCAACTGTTGAGCTGTATGCCACACACACACCAAAGGGTGTGTGAAAATACCGATTCCATGCATAATTGAGATGGTTGGGGAGAGGAGGGAGCGTCGGGGGGGCGCCTCTCAAGCGGGTCTGGCAGGTGTCCTGGTCAGTCGGGTAACTCCCGACTCGTGGGGGGTGCTCTCGCATCGACACCTCCTCCTGGGCCGTTCATCGCCCCACTCAGTCTGCGAGCCTCCAAGCCAGCCCCACGTGTGCACCCCTCATTCCGGCTCGGGCACGTCAGTGGCTCTCGTAATCTCGGGGCAGGTTAGTGTTTCCTCCTGGGGCCAGAGAGTGCTTCCCTGCTTGGTCCATGCCGGGATCAGGAAAGGAGGCGGAGGTGAATCTTGAGAAGGAAAAGTGTAATTTGGAGGCGCATCTGTCTCAGGCGGGGCCTTCACATGGTCACCGGGCGAGGGTCCTGCCTTCCCTAGTCAGGGTGACGGGCTTCCCCTGCCAGCCTCAGGGGTCAGAAGACTTCTCAGACCCCTTCTCCCAAATGTTTTCATCCCAGGGCTTAGGCTTCTGTTCCTTCCCTGTCAGGGTCCCCAGCTTGGCGTAAGAGGCCTGTCCAGGCAGCATGTGGCCTCCTCTGCACCTCTCACGGCTAAATATCGGGCCCAGGGGTCCGCGTGATGTGCCCCATGGCTGTGCGAGGTCAGGGGTCTTGAAACTCTTGTCATATGTAAAATGTGAAAAAAAATTATGTGTGTGTATATATATATATATATATATATATATATGAAATAACTCTATTTTCCCAAACAAAAAACCTACGAGAAGCTCTCTGGCATTCCCAGCATAGCCTGGATGGATAGCAGCTGAACTGACTGCCGTTTTCTTTCTCCAGACTTTCCCACTGAGCCCACACCATCCCAGTGCATCCTCTGCCATGGGTTCTGTTGTATCCCCGCCTCCCCTGCCTCCCTAAATTCATATACTCGATCCCTAACCTCCAGTACCTCAGAATACGACCTTATTTGGAAGCAGGTCCTTTACAGAGATAATGAAGTGAAAATAAGGTCAGAGGAAGAGCCCTAATCCAATGTGACTGATGTCCTTATAAAAGGGGACATTTGGGGCCCAGAGACAGACATAGAGGGAAGACAATGTGAAGGACATGGGGACAGGACAGCTGTCTCCAAGCCAGTGAGAGAGGCCTGGAATAGATTCTTCCCTCACAGCCTCAAGGAACCAACCTTGTCAACACCTTGACCAAGGACTTCCAGCCTCCAGAGCCATGAGTAAACATATTTCTATTGTTTTTAGCCGCCTGACCCCCCCTTTGTTGGAGTGGCCCCAGTGAACTGCTACCGTGTCCCTGAGAGTGGAGTCTGAGACTAGGCTTGGGTGCGAGCACTTTATTTGGGAGGTGGTCCTAGTAAGCAAGAATGAGGGCTGGGGGCCATTGAGGTTGATGGGCAACAGGAGCTTGAGTCCATGTAGACTTTCTGAGAAGCATTCAAAAGCCTCCCCCAGAAGGACCATGCTTACCCACGGGCTCCTATCCCTCAGCATCCAGGTTGCCCGGGGCGTCGACTCTCTCGTACTTATGAGCTGTGTTTGTGCAGAGGGCAAGGGAGCTCCCACCCGGGGTCAGAGGAGCTGGGGAGCCAGAGGGGGCGGAAGCTGGACCCTGGTCAGGAGGGAAGGAGGGTCCAGCACTGGAGAGGCTGCATGGGGAACCAGCTACGGTGGAGAAGTGGGAGGAGGATCACCTCCACAGATGGTGGGGGACAGAGAGGGAGGCCGCCCTTGCTGGGACTCTGCTGGGGCAGCCCGCAGCCCTCCTGTCTTTCCAAAGTCTCCCAACTGTCCTTGCAAATCTGAGGGGAAAGGGGAAGAAACAGCCAGGCCCCAGGACTGCACACACCCCTGCATTGCACAACAGGGCCTTCGGTTGGCTCCTGGACCCCCCTTCTTAGAAGGAATCAGATGGCATCTGAGCCTGGTGTGATCCCACCAGCCCTGCACTCTGGTGCTCTTTCCTAAAAGTCTCAACTCTCCTGCCCTCAGCCAGTGGCTTCCAGTGGTTTCTTCAGCCTCTCTCCACACTGGGTGCATTCAGACCTTGGGAGGGTATGGGTGGGATGTGGGCTGGGCCCACCCCAGACAGGAAGGAGTCTTGCCGAGGAAGCGATGTGGCCCAGGGAGTCTTGGGGAGGCCAAGAAGGGCAGGGCAAGATTCTGGTTGAATGACCAAGCCAGAGGTCAGCCTGACCCTGGAGCCAGCCACCTGCCAGCCCTCAGTTACTGGGCTGTGCTGCACTTTGCCCACGAGGAAGAGTGAATGTTCATCTGCTCGGCTCTTCATGCACTTTCCCATTTATTCTTCCATCTATCCAACCATCCAGCCAACACCGCCTGCATTTCTGGTTCAAGTTGGCAAAGCTGAGCTGAGCCTTTACCTCTCCTCCTTCCTAAAA